AGATAGAGATGGAGAAATCGAGCTCGAGCAGCGAGTTGCAGAAGCTTGTAGAAGCCATAAAAATTTCAGAGGTAAGCCGTTTCTTTTTCCCTAAATCTACCATCTATTTCATTACCTTTCTTTTTAAGTAAAAAGTTTTTGATTACTAATTCATGAAATTAACTAAGGTTAAATAGGTGAGGGAAGACACTTGCTACCCTTAGGATCGTTCTCTATCTTTCTTGCACTCACGGAAATAGTAATGTTCTGTTTGGTTGTCGAGAAAATGTCGGATGAATTTTTTTTTGATAATGTACATTGCAGGTGGTTGAAGGTCGAGCTGAACTGATTGCTAAGTTGGCAGATTTACATTTATCTGAGCAATCTGATCTGAATTGTCTTCTTGAATCCCTAATTGTATCCACTCTTTGTTGCTATTTTGTTTTTATAAAATATTCTTCCTTTTTCCAAAATTTTTGGTATATAATTTTGTTTTTCTGTTTTAATTATGCAAAAATTTCCCCTAATTTTTGCTTCTAGAAATGAAGAATGCTGGGAAGGATTTTAAGTTTACACGATATAGGTAGAGTTTTTCTTGAATAAGATTTGACTGTCCCCTTTGCTTGGCATGTTAATTTCATTTCCTTGACAAGAGAATGGGCATTTTGGGAAGATTATACTTGCTTGGATGTGTCACAGTGCATGTTAAACAAGACTATTTTACATGTGGCTGCAAAGTATCTTGATTCAGATATTTCTGGGTGTTTATTACAGTTTCTTCTACTTGGAACAAAGGTATGTTTATTTCTATTGGCCTTATATGTTAGAATTCTGTTGGTCCTTGCTTGAATGTGAAGCAGTAGCAGCTTCTTAAGCATGTTGACTTATGTGTGTTTTAGGCAAGCACATGGTGTGGGAAGCATCTTAAAATGACTGTCACGTCAACTAAGGAATCTCCAGAAGAAGAACATCACGACTTCTTTTACCAGGTAGATGTACTTGACAGTTTGAGTCTTCATTCTTCTCTGAAGAAAAGTTGTTAGTTGTCACTGCATTTTCTCTTTTGTTCTAGATCAAATGATCAAGTGCCATCTTTGCAAACTATATCCAAGTATGAATGATGTTATTTGTTTTTATCCCCTATCTTCTACCTAGAACTTATTATTTTTACTTTTTTTAGTCTTAAAAGATTTCTTGCATGGGGGTGTCCTGGATTTCTATGATTGTTGCTAACTTCCTAAATTCAAATCAATCATGGTATATTGTTATTATTTTATGTTGAAGGCAGACTTGGTAATTTATTAGTATCCAACATGAAATTGAGCATAGGTTCTGCTGATATTGTACAATTAACTGTGCATTGCATGCCTGAATCTGATGGCCTAATAACGTCAAACCACAGTGAAGGTAGCTCTTCTATTTGTTTGCTTGCTACAAGGCAGTCAACCCAAGGTAGTGTGAACATAATATTTATGCATTAAAAACTACTTTGAGGTATGTAAGAGTTATTCCTGATTGAGCATGCATATCATACTAAGCTACTTCATTTACATTTCTTGATCAATCTCTCCATTGCTTGAGAGCTAAAGATTTCTCCCTATCCACAACAAATATCATCTCCTTTCAGTGGAAAAATTTAAGAGCTTTTCCTTTGGTGTTGACTGTTGAAAAACTTGTGTTGGTCTTCTAATATGAAATGCTTGCATTTTCTTAGATTCTACAACTCCATGGACATCTGTCCTGGGTATGATAGTCTCTTTGTTACAATCGCACCTCATATTATCTTAGAGATATTCTTAATTTTGCAGTTGCTGCTGGATTTTTTGACCTTCTCTGCCGCTTGCTTTACAACTATGACAAGAGACTCTGTTTTGGTTGATCAGGCATCGATGGTGGGTGTTGAAAAATTCATTCTAGAACAGTTGAATCTAGAAAAAGATGCAATATCTGAAATTAAGGTACCTAATTCTTGCATTTTCTTTGTCAAAATCTTCCTGCAATATCATCTTAAACCTTTGTTTTATCCATATTTTCATTTTTGGATTTCTCCTGGAGATAAATTATTGTGAAGAAACAATAATTGTGAATTTTTTCCCTTCTTGGAAGGTGGTTTCAACGTGATATTATTTTGGTGTAATGTTAGTATTGCAGGAGATTAGCATTGCTGCATATAGGGCAAACTGGGTGTCAGTTGCACAACCTTCGGTTTAGAGTAAAAAAATTGTGGAATGCAAAATGTCAGGCTTTTTGAAAAGAATCACAATC